GATCCTTGTCTTTGGTGCAGAGTTGTCCTACACTTCTGTTGTGACAGAGAAATGTGATGTGTACAGCTGTGGTGTGCTTGTGCTAGAGGTGTTGATAGGGAAGCATCCAAGAGATCTACTCCAACATCTTGCCTTATCAACAGAGCCATATACTCTTGTCAATGAAATCTTGGACCAACGGCCTTCTGCACCAACAACAATAGAAGAGAAAAACATAGTTTTCCAAATCAAGGTAGTATTTTCTTGCTTGAAAGCTTCCCCTCAAGCAAGGCCAACAATGCAGGAGATCTGCCAGATGCTCATCCATTATGAATCTTCCACTTCAGTGTGAAGACAACATGTTGTAGTTACATTCGATGAACTATGGGATGCATAAGCATGGTAGGGATGATTACCTCCCTGTTTGTTGTAATGAATAGCAATACAGCTGATTTCCGGCAAAATCTAGCAATATAGTTGTTGGGGACACTTTCTGAGGCCAGGCATAAAATATGCAGGTTTATCTCCAACAAATGCAATCAACACTAAGTGCATTTTTAAACCATTGTAGTATTCCAATAGTGTTTTCGCAAGAGGTAATATGCAAATTCCTTACAAACAAGTGGTTGAATATCATCCACTTGAACTTCTTTCACTGTGATTCCTGACCCTTGTGCATTCACTATGATTTGTTGTATAGCGCATCCGATGTAGCTTACAATATCTAAGTGAGAAAACAACCATTGCTTAACTGCAAATTTACATACTGTAAAACAGGTGCATTATGTGACACAGTAAAATTATGTAAAATATTTTAGTCCTCGAGAGAAAAGGAACAAAATACATGTATTACATGATTGGCGAGACAACAAAAATAAAGTGAACAAACTGTTTATTCTCTGCCTCTCTGGTGTGTGCAGATGGCGTGATTAGCATGGCAACAAAATGGACTGAGTTTAGCACACAAAATAATATAGGCTATGAATAGGAATCTTAATTGGCGAGCAAACTTTTTTTATCAACACAGGCGTACAATGGTCAGTGACTTTGCTATCTGTACTGCTACTTAGTCATTCCCCTAGCTAGTTGTTTCTCCTCTCAGTTATTCCAGTTCTGCGTAGTTTTCTCTCTATTCAGTTTTGTTATCTCTGTGTACTCTGTTTTTCTTTGGAAAATTCTTTTTTGAAAGAAATTATCGTACCCCCAATTTAACAACAACAACCCCCCCCCCCCGTCGTGGTACTAAGTCTGACAGTAAGAATAGGGCGTACGTATGAGGAGGCGAGGCCCTAGCTACAGCGAGGTTGTACACATGAGTTTACGAGTTCAGGCCCCTCTCGGAGGAGGTAAAAGCCCTACGTCTCAGTGCCCTGAGGCAGTCGACCGGAATATGGGTGTGTGTTACAAGGGGTGTGAACCCTTGTCCCAGAG